GAATGAAAAGAGAATCAGAAAAATCCTAGATGCAGATGCTAATAGGATTTCCAAGACCCTAGGGGAGTTAGACCATTGATTTGGGTTAGGCCAGTGAGATCTGGGCACCTAACTCTCTTAGTCCCCTATGAAAATCCCCACTAGAAGGCTTTAGATCCATCCTTCCTTCCCCTAAGGAGATGTGACAGTGTTCCTCCAAAACCACTAAACAGAATATTTTTAAAAAATGAAAATGATATATCTGAGAATGACACTGGGCAATGGTAGGAAGTTGAGAATGGAGTGGAGAGAGTAAAAGTAAAACAAATAATCACAAAAAAAATGACACCTTAAAAATTACACAGAATTTCTCAAGGCCACCAAATGACAAGAACAGAAAAATAAATAGGTAAAACTATTGTGAGACATTAATTTTGTTGGAGGCATGATGTTTTCTCTACCTAGATGCTTGCACTTCAAAATATTCCTGATTTGGCCAAGACCAGCAGTGCCTGCAGAACTGCTGGAGAATCTAATTTCCTTACAAAGCACTTGATTGTCCTCTACTTTGCATAGAGTCATTCCCACCTGTGCCAAATGAGTGAAAAATTCTACTACTTGGGTTTGGTAGCATCTGACACCCTCTTTGTACAGGTGTAAATGATGACAGAAAGCAGTGGAGAATCAGACCCATTAAGGCATTGTCTACACAGAGCAGCAATGCATGCTAATAGGGTGTGATCTCTGAGGTGTACTATTGTGTTGCATATTAGCTGTTCCATGTAGACCCTGCTTGTGTGCACTAAATGTTCCCTGGTGCACTTTTAATTCTGCACCGTTTGAAATAGAATTACATTAAAGAGCCATAGGGAGCCTCTAGTGCACACCAGCAGGGTCCATCTGGACCCATTAATGTGCAGCATATTAGTGCACTTTAACAATGAACCCCGCACAGGGTGCATTACCACACCATGTAGCCATTTCTCCTCCTGATGCACTGACTCAGTACCCCCAATAGCATTTCCTGAAGGCAAATTGCAAGAGGAATATATCCCATTATCCTATTCACTCCCTGTCTGAAGAATGGTAAAGAGGAGAGTATTACATTTAGCGTCCATAGAGGATACTATTTTATTTACATATTTAATTACATTTGTGTATTAATTAAGGTAGATTTTTACTGCTTGGATAGAGAGTGGTGAGTAGGGTAAGAAGGTGATATGAAAAGGAAAGCAACCCCTGTCACTTTGTGATATACCTCCTTCCACTCTGGTACTGCTGCAGCATCACTGGCAGAGAAAGTATACTGGAAACTTTATGTTGGGATCTCCTTAGACTTGCAAATTCCACAAGTATTTTCTAAAAGGGGGTAGATACAGAAACTGGATGTCTCAGGATATGGAACCTGCTAACAATTCACAGTCAGTAGTGACTGAATATAGTTACCTCCAATGGATTGCCCTTGATACCTGAAAGGTTGCTTCTCTCTCTGTGCCCATGACCTCTCATGATAACTACATGCAACTGGAACAATGAAAATGTGCCCATGACCTCTCATGATAACTACATGCAACTGGAACAATGAAAATGACAACCACTAAGGGAGAATATTGAATGTAGGAGACAGAAATCAGATTTAGACTATAAAACTCTCTCCTATAAGAGGGAAGAATGACCACAGATCTCACCACTAAATACAGAACATATCTTTGACTTAGTTTTCCCCCACAAATTTCATTATACACATATCATACACCACCATCCTCACATATATGAAGAAAAGTAAAACAGCAAACAAACGAAAAAAACAAACTAATCATCTATTTTTACTAAAGGTTGAGAAGAAAGAGGTAGACACCATTATTGTACAGATCATCTCAGAATTGTTTAGTGATCTGTATGAAATAAGCAGAGTGGGCAGAGAAAGGGAATTCTGTTTCATGTAGGATTTTGATACTTCAAAATCTGATTCTGGTCCTATTTGGAATTTACCTGGCTTCAGCTTCCAGCCATTGTTTCTTTTTATGCCTTTCTCTGCTAGACTGAAGAGCCCTTTAGTAGCTGGTAGTCCCTCCCCATGGAGGTACTTCTATACGGTAATCAAGTCACATCTAAATCTTCTTTTTGATAAATTACACAGATTGAGCTATTGAAATTTCTCACTATAAGGCATTTTCTTCAGTTCTAATATAATTTTTGTGGTTCTTTTCTGCACCCTCTCTAATTTTTGAACAGCTTTTTTTCAAATGTGGACAACAGATCTGGACACAACATTTCAGTACTGGTCTCACCACTGCTGTATACAGAGGTAAAATAACCTTCCAACTCCTATGCCTTACCCCCTTCTATATACATACAAGGATCATATTAGCCCATTATGCCATCACAATGGGAGCTCGTGCAATTGCTTGTCCACTATGTCTTGTAAATCCTCTTCAGAGTCACTCTTTTCCATGCTACAGTCCTCTATTCTGTAGGTATTGCCTACATTCCTTGTTACTGGATGTATAACTTTGAATTTGGCAGTATTAAAACACATTTTGTTGAATGGGCCCAGGTCACCAAATAATTCAGATCACTGTATGACTGCCCTGTCCTCATCATTATTTCCCACTGCCAATCTTTGTGTCGCCCAGAACATTTATTGGCAGAGATTTTATATTTACTTTCAGATCATTGATGGAAGTGTTGAATACCTACCCCGTGAAATCCCACTAGAAATGTCCCTATTTAGTGATGATGCCTCATTCACAATTACTTTGATATCTGCTAGTGAGTCATTTCTTCATTCATGTAATGTGTACTCTATGGATATTATATAGTGCTATTTTTAAGCATAATGTGTGCAATTCTAAGCCAAATGCCTTACAACAATCTACTACATCTATGCAGTAGTTACCTTTATGAACCAAACTTCTATTTTCACCAAATAATTAAATCAGGTTTCTTTGAAAAGACCTATTTTCCATAAAATCATGCTCATTGGCATAACCTTTAATTCTTCATTGGTTTAATCCCATATCAGTTTATCAATTATTTTGCCTGGGATTTATATCAGGCTAACCAGTTTATAGGTCACCAGGTCATCTAGGTTGCCTTTTCTGAATATTGGCATGCTCCAGTCATCTGATATTTCCTCAGCATGCCATGATTTATTAAAAGTTAACATGTGGCCAGAAAACTCCTCAGCCAACTCTTTTAGGAATCACAGGTGCAAATTATTTGGGCCTGCTGATTTAAAAATGTTTAATACTAGCAGATTGTTATCTAACATCCTCCTCAGTTACTAATGCACAGGAAAGTACTTCATCATCCTCATATGATACAAGTACATTCTTCTACTTCTTTCCAAATAGAGAAAAAAATATTTAGTGAAGACTTGTTTCTTTTCCATGTCATTATTAATGGTTTTACTATCTACGTCAAGTAATGTGCCTATACCATTGTTAGGATTTCTTTTGTTCCTAATATATTTTAAACTCTGTCTTATTGTCCCTAACTCTGCCAGCCACTGTTTTTTTTCTTGATGTCTTGAGCTTCCCTTATCAATGTTATACATTTCATAACTTCTAATTTATATCAATTTCTCTCTATTGTTTCCTTTCCCATTTGGTACATTTTTCTAAATTTCTTTGCTGCCTTTCTTTTGCCACTGAATCAGAATGGGCTATTAGCCAAAGTTGTCCTCTTTCTTGATTAGGGAATTGTGGGATTTTGGCCATATAATACACTCTAAATAATTCCCAATTTTTATTCACATTTTTCTGTCTAAATTTATCCTCCCAATCAATTTTGATAACAATTTATCTCAGCTTCAGGAAATTTGCCCTTTTGAAGTACCAACTATATACTTTACTGTTTGGGAGTTTCCAGTTTGGTCATCTTGAACGTAATCAGGTCATGATCACTGCTCCCTAGGCACAGGGTCAGATTAACCTTTTGTGGGCCCGGCACCGAATATATTTGTGGGCCCCCATGGAGGCAGTGAACCATGTTGCAGGGACATCAGGCCCCAGAGCAAGGGGCCAGCCAGAGGTAATGGGGCATGGCATGGCTGGAGCAGCTCCACTCTGCCCAGCCCAGTGCGAGGGCACTATTTACAACCCAGCAGTTGCCAGACGCACAGTGGCCCAGCTGTCCCTGTGCTGTCAGCATGCCCCTTCCCCTCGGGTATGGGCCCATGTCACGCCACATAGCCCCTCCCCCCCGATTCCCTGTGGCCAGAGGCCCCCTGGACCTGCTATGGCCAGCATCCCCCCACATATGCACAGCACCCTGCACAACACCACCCTTGCCCAGCACCCCCCTGCCCACAACCCCACCACAACTGCCCAGCACCCCCCACAGAACCTCCACTTCCTAGTGCCTCAACACACACAGATCTTCCCTGTCACCTCCACACCCAGCACCCCCCAGAGACCCACTCCCCACCCCCTGCCTTCTGGCTGCACTCACCGGCCTTGCTGGGAGGTGACTTTGTTTGCTGGGCTGATCCAGCAGCGCAGCCAGAGCTGGTCCCAGGGCTGGGAATCACATGATCAGCCAGGTCGGGGCCTGCCCCGGCTGGGCTCTCTCAAGACGCAGTTGCCTGGAGGGGCCCAGGCAAACCTCATACACTGTCACCTGCCCCCCACACCTGGCTGAGACTGGCCAGGCTTCTGCACCAGTCCCAGGCAGCTCAGGTCCGGGGAGACAGATGGGGCCCCACAGGTGATGGGAAGCAGAGACTGCCTGGAGCCGGAGATGCACTGGGTCCAACCAGGGGGCTGAGAGGAGCAAGGGGGTGGGGGTGGAGAGGAACCCTCGGCTTGAGGAGCAAGTGGTGGACGGCGGGGAGTCAGCAGGACCTTCTGAGCATGGGCCCGGCTCCATGGAGCCACTGGTGTCATTGTAAATCTGGCACAACCTAGGCAATCAACAACTGCCATTTGAATGATTAAATTCATTGTTAGCCATCATTATGAGGGTCAAAATAGGCTGACCTCATGTTGGGTACCAGACCTTTTGTGTTAGAAAATTACCTTAAATAAAATAGGAACTCTACTGTTTTAATGCTGGCTGCATGAGACCACTAGCATACGTCTCCCAAACTGAATTTCTCCAGATCAAAACACTTTTTCTTTCCACGTATTACAGACAGGTGTTGAAGGAACAACTCATCTTGTTCTGTGTGGGGTTCGTGAGTGCATGTTCGTCTGTCTGAGACCCCCAGAGTACTCTCTCCAGGACTTTGTAGTGAGCATATAGAGGACTCTCGTCTCCAAGGCTGTCAAGCCAGTGGCTTTCCCCTTCATGAGATTCACACTAGAGAAAGAAAAATATCAAAAAGAACAATATTCCAATATGAGTGTCTCCGCACTTGTTCCAATGCAAAAGAGAAAACCATTCTGGTCATAATTCCATATGTCATGTACATACAAACCTCACATGGGCTTCAAAGAAACTTCTACCTGCATCTGACTGAAGGGAGCAGGCTCTACATGTGAGCAGCCTGAAAGGCTAACGAGGCTATCAAAACTCCTTGGTTGCTATGAAGCAAAGAGTCCCAATTGAAATGAAACTCAGCTCTCCTAAGGATGTATTGAAAATAAAAGCTTGCCTCCAGACAAATAATATATTACCCCTTGTCTAAGAGCCTTCCCTTCAAATAAGGATTCACAATCAGCTTTACAGTCACAGCAAAGTTTTGAAACACCAAACAGCAAGGAAAGAACCTAGCATACCACGTATGCCCTTTGGCAAATAAGGTTAGAGAATTTAATATATTTCTTCACTTCCCATTTCAAACTCTCATGCAATGAGAGAGGGAGAGTGTTAAGTTAACCCCTTTCTTTCTCTGCACCATTGTTCCACCTTCCAGATCACCTCTGTAGTCATTAAAAGGTTAATGACAAAGCTTTAAATAAAATAACTAGGTTACATCAGTAACAGAATGTTCTGTGCATGTAGTCTTTAAGGATATGGGCACCTAATTTAGGCTCCTTTGAGAATCTCAGCCTTAAAGTATGAAGCATTGACATTTTATAAACAAAAGAGCTGAAAAACGTTCACTGGACTTGTGCTTCTGCAGTAACAGATGAAGATTTGGTGAAATAGCACTGATCACTAACATTCTGAACGGCAAAGAGAGAGAAATGTTCCTTCCTCTTTCTAACGGCTTGGGATGACATCAAGAATGGCAAAGGTAACACAGAACACTTGGCAAATACGATAGATAAGGACGTGGACTTTCAAAATGTTAGGAGTACTTGTGGCACCTTAAAGACTAACAAATTTATTAGAGCATAAGCTTTCGTGAGCTTATGAAACTTTTCAAAATGTTGTGATTCAGCATATAACTTTGATAATACTTATTTTTATATAAGCCTAAACTTTTAACCTGTTATTGATTTGGAAACTTAAACAGGTTTCACAATTCAGGGGTGGGAGGGGCAGGGAAAGAAGACAAACAAAAAATAAACCAGAGAATCAATCCTGCCCTTCTGGAAGTCACTGAAAAAACTCTCATTGAGATCAGTGGGAGACAAGAGCTTGGAATTGCAGATTAAAGGAGAAAAGAGGAACAAATACATAAATGAAATGAAACCACGAGGTTGCTTTTAGGAATTACAGAACAATGGGCCAGCACCTTGACCCTATAGTGGTGAGTGCATCAGAGACTGAACAGATAAATGTCAAATAAGTAAAATCAAAATAATAGTTTTGTCATTGTACATGATTTTATTCACGTTAATGACACTGTATAAACACTTCACCGTGTCAGTTACCCCTTCCCAACAATAAATTACCCTGTAGATCAAAACACATAATAGTGCATGGCTCTGAGAACTGAATATGGAGGAAGAAACTTTCATTTCTAGGTCACTAATTCAAATTCTATTCAAGTCAGCAGCATCTGAACGTGTTTAACCATCTGATGACTAGTCAGTTGCCTAAGTATATGAAGTGAATTGATGACCTCAGTCCAAATCAAAATTAGCAAACTTTATTGACCATGTCAGAGACGCCCAGGATTGCTCAAATTAGGGAAACTCTTTTAGAGCCTGTCCCAGTTCTGAAGGTGAACCTTAACTTAGGGTTATGACTGAGGCATTCAGACAGCTAATGTGAGTGCTATACTTAATCTTGTGGATAAATAGATGACAACATTTCACTAGTGCTAAATGAGAAGACCCAAACTACACTAAATACCTTTTTAAAAATGTAATACAGTACTAGGCTCTCAGGATTGGGTATGACCTTCAAAGCATCCGAGAATCATTTTTACACATATAGCGGTAAAAAAGTACTAACTATTGACGCTCTTCAGAAGTCAATTTCACATTAAATTGGCCACCTGAGTGACAGAAAAACATATCCTTGTTTCCATGAGTTATTTTGTTGCACCAGGCTTCATGGATCCAGCTGCTGCAAAAAATAACCAAAGGGAGATCCCTCCACACAAAGGGCATCTCCAATGTCCTGAATCTCTCATGTCTTTCAAGACAAAAGCCTTTCTTTTGCAGTGACTCTCTTGAGCTGGTTTTAACTAATTCGACATGGGGCCAACATCACTGTTATGTTAAAAAATGCACTGATTTCAGTGGTACGTTGCACACAAACACTCCTGCATGGCAGGACATTTTCTGCAGCAATTGCAAACAGAGACTTTGCTCAGGGATCCAGTGCTGCCTCTCTCTCTCTTTTGCAGACAGCAAGATAAATCTGGTCCTTGCTTTATGAAAGCAGAATTTACAGAGCTTGTAGCATTGTGGTGTTCAAATTTACAGAAACTCTAGCATATGCCTGCAATGCATTTTAATCCACCCAGTGATTAGAGGAATGGATTGAGTCCTAGCAAGTTCATTGTTCTTTCTAATTGTCAGTGACTGCTACACTTCACTTGCCTGCAGCTATCCAATTAACATATCACCACTACACAAAATATTGTAATATGCTCGGTGTCCTCACAACAAGAAGCAGCCTTCCATCCAGCAGTTCTATCTTAATTAGGTCTCTTGTACATTAACAGATCTGAGGGTAGAACTGCAGAAGGCCAGGGACAGACAATGAGGCCATCTCACTCTTTTGCCTATTGTTGTGCCAAGTTCAATAGGAATATTTGTTGTTGTTAAGAAAAGCTCAACTAGAGAAGTGAAAAACATGTAACTTGTGCCCCAAGATATTGCCATGGCAACATTTAAACAATGAACAGAAAACCCTGCAGGATTCTGTTCTTGCTTCCTTGGATACCAAATGCAAATCTTCACTCCCTCTTTTTGTGCATATGCGTGCCTGACTTTGGCTTTTCTCTCTAATGTATATAAGAATATTCCTGCTCCCCCCCACCCCGATCATTTTTTTCTTAATTCATCCAGACATATCACAGCTTGTATATCTGCAATTAAAAGAGGGGGAGGGAACACACAGTAGACAACAAAACTCTCTGAAGGAAAGAGGGAATGAATAGCTCTGGAGCTGTACAATGAAACATGGAGCCCTTCATCTTTTGGTCATGGGATAAAGGCAGTCTTGCAGAATTCTTAAAAAAATTTACCAGTGATGGCAAAAAAAAAGCTACTTTCCTGTCCTTTACTCCATGATGCTGATATTGGGGAGATGTGTGTAGGGGACCCTCCTAAAGACAGTTTTCAAGAAGTTATTTGCTGAGGTGAATGGAATTGTACAAGGCTGGTTAGTTCCAATCTTTCTTGCCAAGCTTTAACCACATGAGTAATCAATCACCTTTTAAAGCAGCAGGGTTTGTTCATTTCCTTTAGGCTGGTGACATGAGTAAGGATATGCAGGATCAGGCTCCAGGTAGGCAGTGATCTAAGCCACTACTGCTTGGCAGAGATTTGGATGCTCTAGAAATAGGTTGGTGAATCTCCAGTCCCTTATTTGTGGACAGGTGTCCATATTGCAATTGGAGCTAATTGCCCCCTTTTTTGTAAATCTCATCAGAGAGGTCAAGGGATCTCTCCAGTTCAAGGTGGAAACACATTGAAAGGATTGGGAGTGAAGTTTACACTGAAGTTAGTTGTGATGTACTCCCTCCCCCCATTCTTCCCGCACCCCCACCCCCACAATATATACTAGGGACTTCAGCCCCAGGGCTGTCAAACAGGTGCTTTTCACCAGCATCAAATTTCCTCTACATTTTAAATATGGGGAAACAAATCTTAATGAAAAAGCAAGTCACTTTTTTAACCCTCCTGAAATCCCACATACTTACTGGTATGTCTTGCTATAGAGGGTCTCCATTTTCATATTGCTGATTGATGTAACTACTGAGAGAATGACACTGGCTAACCATGTGCAATAGAATTAGTTTTTAAAGATACTCACACCTTATCTTAAACTCTTAATATTTTGAGAATCTCTTCCACAACCTTTAGCTTACACTGAAGGAGCAAAATATGAGTTTATAAATCTATGTCTATATAGCATATAAATATGTTGACATTCTATTTAACTGCCTTTACAAGTCTTCTTTTCCACCAAGATTACAATCCTAGTCACAGTGATCCGGAGGCTACTTCAGCAATAAAAACTGATCTGGGGCCCACTATACTTCAGTGAAAGACCTTTCTGAAGTGTGAAAAGACCTGGATTGTCTTGGTTTTATATCAGCAATAACTTCTGCATCACAACCACAGACTACCAAGAGAGGCTGCATTTTTAGATTAAGTAATCTTTGGCCCCAGGATATACAACAAATAAAATAGGGCCCTCATACACATTATTCTGATTTCTTCTGCATTGGCATTTGACATGTTACTATTCACATAACTGCTCACTATTCACACTATACTTTCTCTTCACACACACTATTCATACCAGTTTCCTACCTGCCTAGGTAATTAACAGATGGTTTACCCAATACTCTGAAAATGAAGGCAGCTTGCATATCATATATTGCTGAATGCTACACTGGTGTTCTGACACGAGAGATGGAAATAGCAAAATCATTTCTACTCAGGTTCCTATGAAATCCTCACTTTTCATCTCATTTTGTTATCTATCATATTTTTACCATTTTTATCTTGCCCAGCACCTTGAGATCTAGACAACATCAGAGTGCAAATTATTTGAACGCAAAACACTCTTCTATTACATCACTGAAAGAGTTACATTCCATGTGTCTTTGGCTACTTTACCAAGTGAGTGATTCATGGAAGTGTACAAGTATTGCATCTTTAGAAGCTGAGACACATCTTCATATTTCTAATGTTGACAAGCTTTGCCTATTTCATAGCCCAGATTTGTATCTATATTTTCTTCAGCACATAAAAAAACCCCTCGTGCTATTTACTGTAAAAAATGAATCAGGCGTCCTATTGTCAAAGACTAGACTGGCTTTCCCTAGGGGTTTTCTATTTATGGGCTCACTTCGCAACAATCCAGTGAAAAGCTTGAAGATTTTTTCCCACCTCACTTGGCCAGCTTCTCTCTCTTTCAGTAATTACCGAGCAACAGTTTAAACACACATTTAACTGCTCTATTACTGCAACTGGTGATGTCAGTGTAGCCCCAATAGGGCCCAGAATTATGATAAGATATTCAGGACCTTACACAGGGTTGAGGAAAACAATGCGACTGTTTTCACAGACTAACAAATTTATTGCCCACTCAGTGTCCCCACAGGAAACACCTTTCCAGAAAAATAAACGAGACTGAAAACATTACATACTAAACATGCTTAGTTAAGGACTTAAGAGAAGGGTAAGAATAGATGTGGATGTAAGGGATTTTTTTTAATTGTGCCAACTTGCTTCTTGTTTTAAACCCAGCAGAATAAAATGCCTGATTCTGTGCCCATGGCAAACAAAAATCCCTTGGACCTCCATGGGAGCAGGATTGCCCCCAACGTCTTTTATCCTTCCCAAGTAACCAACGTTTACTTTAAGGGACATGACCTCTGAGGAGCAGAAGAATGGGATATTTTTTAACAGCAGAAACTCTAATTTCCATTAAACCAGTAAGGCCAGGACGGTTTCTATCAAATAAATAGGGCAAGTTTTTTGGGGTTTTTTTTTAACCTTTATTTTATTATTATTATTATTTTATTTTATTGCCAGAAGTTCTAGTTATGTTGAACTTGTGGTTTCTGAGACAGAAAGCCTGAGAAAGAGGGAAAGATTGTCAGCAAGTGAGGAGTTCTAATCAAGATCTCTCCCCTTCCCCTATTAGATTGCAGCTAAAGGGAGCGGGGGGAGGAAATCAGTGGTGATGCTAATTCTGCACATTGCCTGGCAAAAATTGCCATTATCTGTCCATTATGGGTCATTTATTTATGAGTTTGGGATCCCCCTCCAACTTCCTTCTTCACTACATTCCAGTCTATTCCAGTAAAGACCTTCAATCTGAGTCCCTGGACATGGAGGCCAGGGTTGGGGGCAGGGAAAGGGAATATCTAATAAGCCAGCAGCTTTGCCAGCAGAAAAGCGAGGAGGAAAGCGGCACTGTTCCCCACTAGCACACAGGGACCCCCAGTTATTTCAAATACCATTATCCCGCTTTTATTCCCCCAATCTCCGTTTCTGCAGGCAAGGACCGACATAATTAGTGGATACTAGCTCGGCCCATTATCTACCCATCACTCCTAATCAATAAACCCTACCAGAGACAGACTCGCTCTCTCCTTTTTTTTTTTTTTAAGTTAACTCCTAACGCTGCAGAATACTATCTGTTTATCAACAGTAAATCTACAACTGCTGTGACAGCCCTCTGGGAGCGAGAGGGATTTACCACCGAACCACAACAAATTGCCTAAGAGATCTGGAGCACATCTGTGGCAAGTATCATAAACTCTCCTTCAACAGTGAATACCCATCCCCATTCGCTGCTGCTAACCGTCCTTAATCACTCCGTGCACAATGTAACGTTTCTCCCTGTACTGCCTCCCCCCGCGTCCCCCGCCCCCCAAAAGCCATCCACCCTTCACCTGCCTTCCTTATTATCATTTTCCATGTTAATACACCATGTTGAGCTGCACGGTCAGGTTGCATAATAAAAATTAAATTGGATCCCTTCGATTTCCAATGGTCAAAGGGGGGGGGGGGGGAATCGTTGTGCATCAAACTCCTGAGGCTGCCGTGCAACTTGCCGCTCTTGCACAGTTTGGGCAATCAAGCAGCACACCACCACACACTGCAGGGGCTTCCTTGGGAGATTTCTTTGCTAGTGAACATGTACAAACCCTGCAGACCCAGGCATGCAAGCATCTGCAACATCCTCCCGGGGCTTGAATTTTACTAACCATAACATTGGATCTACCGTAACTTATCAGTTATACCCCCCGCCCCACCAAATCAGTTCGTATAATTCACCAAGATTGTATCCGAAGGGAAGAAAGCGAGGGGCATGGTTTCTTTCCCAAGAAATAAGAATAAGAAAATATCAAAGGCACTCACTGTATTTCAGATTGCACAGAAGACTATCCAGATGGAAATCCGAGTGTTTAAGGGGGGGAAGGGGAAAAAAGGCAGGAGGTGGCAAACTATTTCATTGCAGCAGCGAAGCGAAAATTAAAAATAAGGAATTAAATTAAAAATAAAATATCCAACTTCAATTTTCGATCAATTTCAGGCCACACAGGCTCCAATCCAGCCCAACCTGCTGTTTTTTTCTCCCTCACCAGATTCTTCTTCTTTTCCACTCCCCCCGGCTTTTTTTTCCCGTCGCTCTTAACTTTTCTGCTTAAAATGGTCGTACCTGTATCATTAAATTCCTGTCTTCTTGGGGGAGGTTTTTTTAAAAAACTAAACATTTAAAAAATCCCTCAGAGCAAGAATGGTCCTTCTCCTTTCTGAAACTTTTCATTCCATTGTGGATCCTTTTCCTAGTTTCCTTTCTTTGAGGGTTTTTGCCTTTCTGGCTCCTCTGTTCTCCATTGCCAACTTTTTTTTTTCTTCTTCCTTTGGAGGGTAGAGAGGGGTTTCTTTATTTTAAACAACCCTCTATCTGAAGTAAGGCCGTTTGCTTTTAATGCATTTTTTGTTGTGACTGTTAAGATCCAGGTCTTTCCAGGCAATTTTCTTCTCCCCCCTTCTTTGCTGCACTATCAATTATCCAATACATGTGTTTCCACGTTAGATAGGGGGTTCCCATTCTTCTGTTTTCCCTATTTTCCTCCACGCACACCTTCACCAGAGTCTCCTCTTACATTTAGAATGTTAAAACAATAAACTTTTGGTCTCTCTCTCCCCCCTCTCCAAAGATCTGATTAGATTTCCAATCACAACCCAGTGCGCAATTGGATTTTTGATTTCAGAAAGAAGCCAGCTATTCACAGCATCATCACCATTCTCCTCTCTTCAAACTCCACGTTATCTCCTTTTGCCTTCCCTCCAACTCCTCTGCATTTTCATCATCTCACATTAAATGGAAATGGGGTGGGGGAGAGTGGAGGAAAATTCAAGGTTCCCACCAGCTGTCAATAATAAATCCATCCCTTGTTTATTTTTTTTTACACACGTGGGGTGGGTATTTTTGACTCTCCCTCTTCTCTTTGCCCCCACTTCTCAAAATCTTCCTGACGTTAAAACTCCTCCGATGGGGCACAAAAGCTCCCTGGGGAGGCGTGATTTGTCCTCCTAACTCTGAATCTCACAAGCACGGGGCTCCCCTTCCTCTTCATTTCTGCTTCCTCTCCATCTTTTGTCCAGCAGGAATAAAGATCCAGCAGTATCGAGACGGATAAACTTCTTCTATTTCTTCTTGGGAGAGAGAGAGAAACACACACAGAGAGAGCCCTCCAATCTCTGCCTCCCTTTTCCTCCCCCTATCTATTGCAATTGCAGCTCTGATCTCATTGCCAAGATCAGGCTGGTATATTTCAGATCTACAAGTTGGTATCCCCTTCTGCACAGCAGTGGCTTAGGCTCCCATCTTCTTCCACATTCCAGTTACCTTCTCCCTTCCTCCCTCCTCTCCAAGATGACACATTCCCAGGAGCGCAGCCGCTTCTTTCATTCCTTATCCCAGAAATGCACAGCCCTTTGCACCGCAGAAACCTTTCCTCCCTGCCATCAGCTTCAGCTCGAACTCTCCCTACATATATTTATATGTGTGTATGTATATGTATTTACATATATCCAGTTCCAGTCAGCTGCTGCTGCAGGGAATAGCTTTGCTCTCTCTCTCTCTCTCTCCCCCTCACCCCCCCCCCACCTTTGCAATGGCACCTCAGTATTTCCAAAGGTCCCAGGATCAGTCTTTCTTCCTACACTCGTCCCTTCTCCCGTCTTCAATTCTCTCTTCTCCCCCCCCTCCTCCTTTTCTCTGCTTGTGATCAGTAAAATACAATTACCCAATTACCTCCCATCATCCTAGCACTGATTGGTCAATTGCATTAACACTTGATGTCAAGGAAAAGGGTACAGGAGCTCTTGTGATAGGGCACTGCTGCCACCTGGCGGACAGTCTGGGAACAGGCTCACTGTTACCTCAAGAAACCTCCAAGTGAGGAAGGAGTAATTGAAAAACAAAGGCTCGTCTTGAGAAAAGGAATGTCAAAACTCATTTTCTTAAAAGCCCGCCTGATTGTGGCAGCTCAGCTGTGCTCACAGGTACATGCCTAGCCACAGAAGGATAGGGAAAGTTAATGATTTTCTATAAAATCACTCCTTAGAAATCTGATATATTTCATTTTACTCAGTAACTTTCTCTCACCTTTTGTGGCTAGGCATGTAATTGTGAACACGACGTCCATATATACCTTTACACATATACATGTTTACATTACACACACCCAAACACACATTAATACACATTTAAACCATTTATCTCCATAATTTGAAGAAACCCAAGTGTCACTCAGTACAAAACACCTGCACATTAATTAACAGACTGGAAGATCTTTAAAGTTCCTTCTGGTTTCAGGAGATTTGTGAGCAGTTAAGTGGCAGGATCACAATATAATGGCCATGTTTACACTACGAGCATTACAGCAGCAGAGCTACAATGCCATAGATATGTTTCTGTAATCTCATAATTGGGTACGGCAAAATTCAATGTTTATTTTTCAGCATTTTAAAAATTTTTAACAATTTAAAGTTTCACAGTAGTGCAAAATGATATTCTTTAAGCATTTTTTTATTTTTATTTATTTAAATGTTCACAATTGAGGGAAATTATGGGAGATCTGACAATAATTATTTAATGCCTGTAGACATTGAGATTCAAAAGGTAAAAGCTTTATAACAATTACAACACAAGTGTCAACACCACGTCAGAATATACAAAGGAAATAGCCTGAAAACAAACCCTAATAAGTTCACAAGCATTATTTTTCTTATTTTGCCTATCTTTATTTTTATTATTATTGATGGAAATATTTTTTTTGTCAGTTTGTGTGTGTTTGGTGAAATTGACATTTACTGACATTTACAAATAGAAATTGAATCCTTCCAAGCCTACCCATAATGTAGACACAGACTATAGCAACGAAGGGTTTTTCCCCCCCATCTCTGTAGAAACTCCACCTCCCCAAGTGACAGTCACTAGGTTGACAGAAGCATTCTTCCATCAACCTAACTGTGACTACCCTGGGGATTAGATCAGCATAGCTACAGCACTCAGGGGAGTGGATTTTTCACTCCCCTGAGTGCAGTAGCTACGCCAATCTAAGTTTTCAGTGCAGACCAGCCCAATTACTAGACTCACAGATTTTCTGGTGTAACTCCATTGGAATGAGGATTTTTCAGAAGTGAGGGAGAGGGAAGAGGGACTGGAATTGTAATGCAATGTTCCGTTCAAGTTTACAAACTAAGCCTGTGATCTTGAAAATGCTCATGGATGTGTTTAATTTGATGTCAATTGAATTACTATTCACATGCTCACTGTTAAGCATGTTCATAAGTGTTTGCAGGATTGGGACCTAAACTCAGTGGAAGTTCTCACATGTGGAAAGTTATATGTGGAAATGTTTATAGGAGCAAGGCAAGCAAGCAGAGTATGGATGATACACTCTACTCCTGCATTTGTTGCTCTCATAATGAGAAAGAAAGAATGTATAGATCCAACTCCGCCACATGCACACCCCACCCCCCAAAAATGAGCCAAGCTCTTTGATGGTAATTATAGTGGATTCCATAAATCAAACAGTTGCTTCCAGTTATTTTTAGCATGAAATAACACAGCTACACCTTCACTCTGCTCTCCACAATAGTAACACACACACACACACATATATATATATCAGGTATCCTTACTTAATCTAGCTCTTTGATATGATCTCGGCAAAAGTGAAAATGAGAAGAGAGAATGGAAGTGTCACGGTTACAAGTATGGGACTTGAACATGTAGCTATATAAATATTTATTTAATTGTAGAGTATATTTTCTGGTTAATTTCAGTTCAGTAACAAATTTACTGGATCAATAGCAAAGACCATGGAGCTCAGTCTTACTTCTAGTTGTAGTGACTCAGTGACAGAACTTGTGAAGTATCATTCACATTAGTGCGAATAAGGGAATCATCCTCTGGCTCTTAATCAATCATATATTTTAGAGCTTTTGATTTACTTTCATTGAAGTCAGTGGCAAATACACATTGACTTAAATGGGTAAAGGATCAGGACCTGGATCAATAACAAGCAACCCAAATTTGGTGGTTTTCCAGGCATGCTGCATTCTATTCAATAGGGTTTTGTGAAGGTAGCTGAGGGTATGCACCAGAAATGATGAAGGGATAGAAGGGAACGTTTTTTGGTAGCTGTCTGTTCAAGTTCCTACCTATCCATCTGTTTGACGCTACTGAACTTATGTTGTGATATTTATCAAGCATTAGGACTCCTAGAGCTTTGTATAAGCACTTTTATCTTTTTACTATTTTAATCTAAATAAATATCAAAACAAACATTTTTTTTTCAGAAGTGCAAAAATATCACATCCCAATAAATGTTTCCATCAACCTTTTTTTAAATTACTTTTTACTACAGCAAAGTTACAACTAAACGTTAACATACTACACTACTCATTACTTATTCAAGATCAGGTTAATATTCAAAGAACCTGGCTAAAATTTTTGACTTTTTATTAAAGGTGCCTTTAACAGTTGCCTACTAAAGCTAAGAGTCTGTGAACAAATCTGAAGTTTTTTGTTTGTTTTTTAAAATCAAATAAATGGTCTTTGTAAGTGGGGTGATGCTTAGCTGTTGCAGATCTAATCTGATTCTCAAATGCAATCTTCTGCAGTAGATACATCAGTTATTTGGACACAGACTAATATTCATTTACCCTTTCACCAGACATTAGCACTTTATGCAGCTTTGATGTCATTCTAAATGGCATTAAAATGTGAATTGTTAAATGGTACTAGTATTTATATGAAATATATATAGAAATAATATATTAGCTAAAGTAGACATGATTTAGCTAAACAAATAGTATCAGGGCAGTAATATGCTGATAAAGTATGGGTAGGAACTGAAGAGAAACAGTCAAATGAAAGAGAGTCCCATTGAATTACATCACAAAGGAATACAAATAAATACTGAGAAATTTTATAAAGTGCTTTTATACAAATGAAAGAAATCTAAATGCTAAGACAGATGAAATTGAGTGCCTGGTATTCAATGATATTGATATAATATGCACCACAGAAACTTGGTGGAATGATGATAATAAATGGGACACGGGAGTACCAGGGTATAAAATATATAGGAATGACAGAGTTGGTCATGCTGGTGTGGGAGTAGCACTGTATGTGAAAAAAAGCAATGTCAAATAGAGTAAAAATCTTAAATGAATGAAACAGTACCATAGAATCTTTATAGATAGAAATTCCATGCTTATATACCTTCAGATCTGATACTAATGACCATCTGACCAGAATGGTGATTGTGAAATGCTCAGGGAGATTAGAGAGATACAAAAACAGAAAACCCAACAATAATCTGGAATTTCAACTATCCCCATATTTACTAGGAACCAGGACCAGATGCAGAGATAAAATTTCTAGACACCATTAATGACTGCTTCTTGGAGCAGCTGGTCCTGGAACCCGCAAATGGAAAGGCAATCTTTGATTTAGTCATAAGTGGAGCACAGGATCTGGTCCAAGAGGTGAATATAGCTGAACCACTATGTAATAGTGACCATAAAGTAATTAAATTTACCATCCTTACAGGGGGGAAATACCAAAGAAACCCAACATAGTAGCATTTAACTTCAAAAAGAGTAACTACACAAAAATGAGGAAGCTAGTTATATGGATATTAAAAGGAACAGTTTCAAGAGTGAAATGCCTGCAAGCTGCATGGATACTTTTTAAAAAACATCATAACAGAGGCTCAAACAGTATGTATATCCCAATAACAAAAACAGTAATACCACCAAAAAAACAAACAAAAAAAACCAGCCATGGCTAAACAACAGCGTAAAAGAGGTGGTTAGAAGCAAAAAGGCATCCTTTCAAAATTTGAAGTCAAATTGTACTGAGGAAAATAGAAAGGAGCATAAACTCTGGCAAGTCAAATATAAAAGCATAATTAGGCAGGCCCAAAATGAATTTGAGGAGCAGCTAGCAAAAGACACAAAAACTAACAGAATTTTTCTAAAATACATTAGAAGCAGGAAGCCTGTCAAACAATCAGTGGAGCCATTGGGCAATCAAGGTGCTAAAAGAGCATTCAAAGAAGACAACGCCATTGTGGAGAAAGCTAAATAAATTCTTTACATCGGTCTTCACTGCAGAGGATGTGAGGGAGATTCCCACACCTGAGCGATTCTTTTTAGTTGACGGATCTGAGGAACTATCCCAGACTGAAGTGCTTTGGGAAGAAATTGATAAATGAAACAGTAATAAGTCACCAGGACCAGATGGTATTCACCCAAGAGTTTTGAAGGAACTCAAAGATGAATTTGCAGAAATACTAACTGTGGTATGTAACCCATCATTTAAACCAGCCTCTGTACCAGATTACTGGCAGACAGCTAATGTGACATCAATTTTTTTAAAAAGTCTCCAGACATGATTTTCTGGCAATTACAGGCCAGTATGCCTAACTTCAATATCAGGCAAATTGGTTGAAACAATAGTAAAGAACAGAATTATCAGACTTATGGATGAACATGATATGTTGGGGAATAGGCAGCATGGCTTTTGTAAAGGGAAAATTCACCATTAGAATTCTCAGAGGTTGTCAACAAACATGTGAACAAGGCTGATCCAGTGGAT